AAATTGCACAAAAATGGCAGTACGCACACCCTTGACTTTATCTGTGTACACATTGATCTATTTTCAATTTAAAAGTAAAAGAAAATTGACAAAAATCCAATTGTTTTTACCCTTGTAAAAAGCGGCGAACAAATAAGTGAGCTATTATGCACTTTACCGAGAATATTTTCAAAGAAAAGGCATCATTCATTATAGAAAATTATGTTTGAACAACCAACGAGATGAAATTATGCTTTAACGATAAGTCGGTAGCGAAATAGCGATGCAGGCATCCATTCAGTTATGTTTAGCAATTTTTATATAAATTATATAATAAAAAAAGTATTATATGAAATTAACCTTTCATCTAAATTAAAACATCAATCTTAGATAGTTATTTACTATTATACTTCCTTTCTTGCCGCAATTATTTTTGGCACCATTGGCATCAACAATAGTTTGGCGATTTTTTACGGCCCTCGAAACCGAATAATACCAAAAAAGTTAATTATTTTCCATGGTTGAGGTAATGCATTGCTCATATTTTAAATTACAAGTCTAATTTTTCTTTTAAGGTTCTGCAGTTGTGTATAATGTAATTAAACAAGTGCTTATTTTTTCCTTAAAATGTGCTTGAAAAGTGCTTATAGGTGCTTATTTTTTTAACTAAAATGTGGCTACGAACCCTGATCACGCTTAACCGGTTAATTTCAGTATATTAATACTAATTTATATTTTTAAATGAATTTTTGGTTGATCTTTGGATTATGGTAACTTGGCGATTTTTTGGCGAAAATTTGGCGACCAATTCTGCTACAGCAACCTTCTATTTTTTTTTTTCCGCCGCCATTTTGTCTTCACGAAGTAAAGACATGTTTCTTTTCTTTTTATTTACTGAACACTTTTTCTAACAATCTACTAGCCGAATTACACTTATGCTAGAAATTTTATGTAACAAAACTGCTTAATCATGAAAAATATTCACTGCAAAATTGGGAAAAAGTGCACAATCGCAAACTCCTTGCACGTTTTTCAGAATAGCACATACACATAAACCATGTACACATCGACTTATTTTTACATAAAAAAACATCCCAGAATTGCACAAAAATGGCATTGCACACACTCTTAACTTTATCCATCTACACTGCTATTTTCTCATAAATTACAAAAATTTGCACGAAAATTCAAAAAGAATTCTGTGAATCTTTAAACTCGGTAAAAAGCACATACATGAAATTACCTGATTGCGAAAAAGTATATACCCTTTCGAAGCATAAACATTTCCAAGTATAAAATAAATAAAATATCCAAAAACTTTTACCTCTAAATTATCTATTATATTATAAACGTCACCAACGAATTCATACCGCAAACATTACAAATACTTAGTGTCAAATATTTAAATTATTTCCATGCACGTTTACTTCAACTGAAATGTATACCAAATTCCTACAAACATAAAATTCACAAAATAACTATCATTTAATTAAAATATCACTAAACCATGTACCCGTCGACTTATTTTTACTTAAAAAAACATCCCAGAATTGCACAAAAATGGCATTGCGCACACTCTTCACTATATCCATATACACTGCTTTTTTCTCATAAATTAGAAAAATTTTACGAAAATGCATGAAAATACTCGACGTATTCTACTCAAACGTATTCCAAAATACTACAAACATATAACTCACAAAATCACGATCATTAAATTAATAAAAATTAGATTACAATCCTAATTACTTAAAACTAAATCATTGCTAATAACAATTTTCCAATAATATCATATTAATTTATTTACTCTTTACATTTAGAACAATGCATAAAAATAATATCCTGAAATGAATAAAACTACATCACTTACCTAATCTTCAGAATCTTTATTACGTGGCACGCACATTTCCACTATTTCACACAACACACAATGAAGCTTAATACAAAATAATATAGTACTACAGTTTTCCAAATTCCCCCCCCCCCCGCTTTTCCGATTAAAGAACTATAATTCATCCATTAATGTCACATGACATATCTCATGATCTCTCATTTCCCTCACACAAAATAATGCGTAATCGGAACTGAGAATTTCTCACATTATTACCAAAGTCCTAGGTAGTAACCTTTATCGCCTCCAAAATGTTGCCAAACTACCTGTTACCATATTCCAAAGATCAGCCGAATTTTTATTTCCGTTATAAATCCTTATATATTGTCTTATGCTTAATATATTCTTTTCTGCACTAACTTGAATTTCATACAAATTTATTTTCGTATATCACGTTTAACCGGTTAGTTTTACTTTTACATGCTTATTATCTGTGAATTTTTACTACCATATGCTTAATATATTGTTTTGTCTCCTAATTTGAATTTACATGCACTAAAAATCACGTTTACAAAATATCACATTTACGGCTCGGCTCATCGTCGATGAATGGCGAGCTTGGCGAGTAAAAATGCAACGGCGCCAACGGGTTCTCTGCGGATGAAAACCTGTATTATCATATAACCTTTAGCTTCTCCAGGAAAACATGCATAGTTTCAAAGTGTGTATGAATACAAGTTAAATCACAATTTTATTTTGCATTGTGTTAGATCAATTCAAATAAAATTTCAGAAGTAGAAAGAAATTTTTATTCTAGTAGCTGCTTCATATGTTCCTCAAAAAGTCAGGTAATATAGGAATATATTTTCATACTGTTAAATTTGCAAGAAATACAATCATGGTGACTAGCATAACAAGTGTAATGAAAAATCATTGAAGTGTTACAAGAAGAAGAGAAGTCAATGCAATACTTATATAAAACAAAACATTTGAAAAATACATTTGATAAATGCACAGCTTAAATGCTCAGGAGCTCACCAGAGCCTGGCTCCGATACTCCTTTTTAGTTTTGGGGATAAATCATAATTCTAGCTCGATCACAGTGGAGCCCCAAATAAAAAAGCTCCGATACTTATATAACTGAACAACAAATTCAACAGAAACTTGATCTCAGAAATTTTATTTTTAATGATAAAAATTATATTAAAAATTGATTCTAACTTCTCTTTCCACAGGAAATAAACCTTTAGACGGAGGTCGAGACTTTTAAAGAAAGAAAAGCCCCCATTCAAATGTCAAAGGTTTATTCTCCTGAAAGTACAATAAATTTATGACAGCAGGTAAATTTTTCGTTCTAATGCTAGTGTCTTCTGGCAGAAAAGAGCACCTGCAAACTTTTTGGAAAGATGTAAACAAAGACTTGATGAAAATTGTCATTTGTTTCTCTTTTAACAGCTAACCCTCGAATTAGGGAAAAATTTGTTCCCCTGGTCAGTCACATTCTAAATGACAACTAGAATTATATTGACAGGAGATCGTTGTCAGATGCAATGTTGGACTCTTCTCTTTTTGTTTTCATATTTACATATCATCCATTAAAATTTTTCGATATTCTGTTGATGTTTATACATTCTCTCTAGAGATGCTTTAACCATTTTAACGATTTGCTTTTTCGTAGGTGTGCTGGGAAAAAGAATGGTCTTTATCTGTATAATCCCTTGAAGTAGTACATTATATTCAACCGAAGACCGATTGAGTTATTTCTCAGTTTTTGTGTGAAATTTAAATTCCAGCCACTATGCCAAATAAGTCAAGATACAGTACTTTATTTTATTGTTTAACTATTTATGCTTCATTTAATAACTTGTTAAATTTTTATTTATCTCTTAACATTTTATTAAATTACTTAATTATATTAATTAATTTTTTTAAATATTAATTACTTTATTAGTCATCTGAGTTATTCTTGTTCCTGTGTCACCAAACTTGTTGATGCCAGTGCTGCCAAAAATAATTGCGGCAACTCTATGCAAGAAAGGAATATAATAGTAATATCTATCTAAAGATCTTGTTTATTTATATGAAAGATTAATTCATATAATACTTTAATTATAATTTATATAAAAAAGGCCAAACATAACTGAATGGAAGCATAAGAGTAAATAACTATTTCAGATCATTCTTATAATTTATATAAAAAAAGGCTAAACATAACTGAATGTATTCCTGCATTGCTATTTCGCTACCAAGTTATCGCTAAAGCTTAACTTTATCTCGTTGGTTTTTCAAACATAATTTTCTATAATTAACGATGCCTTTTCTTTGAAAAAATTCTATTGTAGACTTGTCGTCATGGGCAATTCCCAAATTGTTAAATCCATAGGATATCAAAAAAGGATTTAAAAATTAAACTAATATTTCAATTGCGTCTTAAGAAATATAGAACTATATAAACGCAAGTTGAAATCAGCATGTATGCTAGATTTGGTGTGCTGTTAAATGGGCATGTTTGCTAGATTTGGCGCATACATTTTCGCTGCAATTTTTTATGGTCCTCAAAACAGAATAGTACCGCTACTTCTACATTACATATACCAAGTACACTGAATATTACAAACGGTGAATCTTTACATTATGGTAACTTGGCGATTTTTTGGCGAAAATTTGATAACCAACCCTGCTACAGCAACCTGTTAGTTTTGTTTTGGACGCCATTTGGTTTTCACAAACTAAAGGCATTTTTTTTTTTTCTCTTAACATTTTTTCCAACAATCTGCTAGCCGAATTACGCTTACACTAGAACTTTTATGGGGAAAAAATGCTTAATTACGACGAAAATTAGGTGCGAAATTGAGTGTGTCTGCTTGCTGCGTTTTTAAGAATTGCACATACACGGTATCCATGTACACGTCGACTATTTTCCCTTAAAAAAAATACCCCAGAATTGCACAAAAATGGCATTGCGCACACTCTTGACTTTATCTGTGTACACATCGACCTATTTTCACTTAAAAAGTCAAAGAAAATTGACAAAAATCCAATTTTTCTTACTCTTGTAAAAAGTGCCAAATAAGTGGGCGATTCTGCACTTTAGCAGCGAAAATTGTTTCTAAGTGCTTATTAGCTAAAATCACGATCAGAATTTTCCGGAAAATGTCACATGACATGTCTCAATCTCTCATTTGTCCGAGACAAAATAATCTGTGATTCGAACTGTGTACTTCTCAGATTATTGCTAAGTCCTAGCTAGTAACCTTTATCGCCTTATCAAAATGTCACCAAACTACCTGTTACCATATTCTAAAGATTAGCCTTACAAACTACTTTTGTACTAGTTACTTATTATGTACAGCAAACTAGAATTTCTGGTTAGGAAAAAAACTTACTTTTGTCAACTACTCAAATTTATTCCAGTTCTTTCAATTTATCAAAATTCAATTCTATATCACTCAAATAAGATTTATCATTTGCATGTTTATGATTCATATGTGTCTCTAACTGCTTTTTGTATGTGAATGTTTTTTCACATATTTCACAAGCATAAGGTCTGTCTCCTGTATGACTACACACATGAAGCTTTAAACTATGCTTTCGACTGAAGGATTTGCCACAAACATGACATATGTGAGGTTTTATTCCTGTGTGGATACACATATGATTGACTAAATCCACCTTTTTTCTGAACGATTTGCTACATACATCACATAAGTAAGGTTTCTCTCCTGTATGGATTTTCATATGATCTACTAAATTTTGCTTAAATCTGAAAGCCTTGTTACAAATATCACATATATGAGGTTTTTCTCCTGTATGGATATGCATATGTGTCACAAATCGTGTTTTCCTTGTAAATGACCTACCACATATATCACATACATAAGGTTTCTCTCCTGTGTGGATATGCATATGTTCTTCTAAATGATGCTTTCGTTTGAATGACTTATCACAAAATTCACATGTGAAAGGTTTCTCTCCTGTGTGTATACGCATGTGAACAATTAACTTTTGTCTTTCAGTAAATGACTTCTTACATACATCACATGGGTGAGGTTTCTCTCCTGTGTGGATATACACATGAGACACTAAATTCTGTTTTTGCGAAAATGACTTATCACATACATCACACACGTAAGGTTTTTCTCCTGTGTGAATGCGCAGATGTGCCGTTAAATTGTGCTTCTGCATGAATGACCTACTACATATATCACATATATAAGGCTTCTCTCCTGTATGAATAAGCATATGCTTGCTTAAAAGGTGCTTTTGCAAGAATGATTGTTTACATATGTCACATATGTGAGGTTTCTCTCCTGTGTGGGTTACCATATGTGTCATAAGTTGTTGCCTTAATGTAAATGACTCATGGCATGTATCACATTCATGAGGTTTCTCACCCGTGTGTATAAGTATATGTGTCATTAAACTCTGCTTACATTTGAATGACTTTTTACATAAATTACAAATGTGAGATTTTCCTCCCGTGTGGGTACGCATGTGAGATCTTAAATATTGTTTTATTGTAAATGACTTCCCACAGATTTCACATACATGAGGTTTTTCTCCTGAATGAATAGGCATGTGCATCTTTAAACTGTACTTCTGGGTAAATGACTTCCCACACTTACCACATACATGAGGTTTCTTTCCTGTGTGGAAAGGCAAATGTGCTTCTAGTTGAGACTTTTGTCTGAATGAATTATGACATAGATCACACATAAATGGCTTTTCTCCTGTGTGGATACTCATGTGTGTTTTCAAATTCTTTTTTAATGTAAATGACTTGTTACACACAATACAAACATTAGTTTTTTCTTTAGTCTGGATGTTCACGAAAATCACTAAATATTGTTTTGGTGTGAACGGCTTGTCACACATATTATTTACATCAGATATCTCTCCTGTATGGGTAAGCATATGTACTACTAATTGGTCCTTTTGCATGAACGACTGATTACATACAGCACATATATGAGGTTCCATTCCTGTATGTGAAAGCAAATGTTCCTGTAAAGAATTATTTTGATCAAAAGTAGAGCTGCATACATGACAGGTAAAACTTTTCTGCTTTTTATTTGCAAGCATGTTTGGTTCAATGAAGATTTTTCAAAAAGAAAGTTTATAAATATTTGGCGGCTCCATAACCTGTTTTCATTGGCAATATTTAGATGGATTTGTAAAAATTACTTCAATGCAAATGACTTGTTACAAACACCATTACTTTTTCTCAGATTAGTAAACAAAGCTCATTATCATCGAAAAACATTTCGCAAACACTTTATTTATATTTTATAAAAAAATCATTTCGTTTTATACGTGAGGAAGCAGACAACAGTAACATACTTTGTTTTTCTAAGTCGTAAACTGATTAATATTTCAGTAGCATTAGTTTCGAATGATTTGTTGATTTAACAGAAAGTTATCAAATTTATGCTTCTGCAATAAAAGAAATCAACATATTAAAGTTTTAAATTCTTGCATCCCTTAAATTACAGACAAATTCTTTGCTACCTGTAATTGACGAAGTCAAACAGCCACAGGAGATGTCTTGTTTTGACAAGCGTCTAGCCCCTCAGATGCTAGTTTCCTCCTGATTCCTCCCTGATCATTTGCGCAGATTCACGCGCAGCGTGTTTATATCAGGGAGCTCGACATGCAGAAAGGAATCAGCTGGCACCGACGCCGTGCTGTCAAGTTACGAAAGTGCTGCGCATTACTCAGTGCAAATTAATTTCTTTTATTAGTTTTTCTACAGTATTTTTCTTTTTAAGTCGGATACATATTTACATGTTGATATTGATTTTTGGTTGTTTCTCATTTTCTATCAAATAATATATTATTTTGATTTGTGTATAAAAGAATTCCTGATATTTATTCATTCATTCATCTATACATCATCGCCCAAAGCTATTACAGATGCAGATATCAAAAGCTAGGAGCTCATTTCTTGTCTACTGAAGGCGTCATTTAAGAAGAGATTTTTAAAAATTCGGCACCCAATGGGGGGGGGGAGGGCAAAAAATGTTTTTACGTTTTTTCATATAAGGAAGAAACAGATGTACACAAGAGTCTTGCTTTAAAATGTATGGAACATGAATACTTAAAAACCAGTTTCAGAAGTTCGACCCCCCAAGGACCCCTACCCTTGAGAATTCGGCCCCCAAGGGGGTAGGGGGCTGTGGTAATAAAATTTTTATTAAGGTAGTACAATAATTGAGACAGATCGTAATAATCATAACAATAGAATAGAATAAATATTATTTTGTCTTTCATTGTTATGGGTTACCAGACTGGCAGCATTGTAATAGGCAAGTCGCCACAGGGGCAAAACATGTTTTCACATATTTCTTCACACTTTAGATATCCGTAAGATTCAGTGGTGGATAAGGCTGGTGCGGTTATGGGCTGATCAAGAAATTCGAACAATCGAATTGACACAGATGACTCGGCGAGACAGCCCTGCGAGGGAGGGTATGTGCGTAGAATTAATACTTTCTCTGAAAAGTATATCTTCCAATGGTATACAAAATGCACAGATACGACAAATGGCAAAATCTATTCTGGATAAAATATCAACTTTTAGAATAATTTTGTCTGCTCGTGTATATTTGAAAATATTTCAATATACTGAGCCAGTAATGAAATATTTGCAGACTAAAGGATTAGATTACATGCTAGCATATAATATAGTTAGGGAGGCTGCAAGCTCTTTAAAAGCCATTCTCTAGAAACTTCAATTTAACATTTAATGCATCAAAATTGTTTGCAACGGATTACAATAATAAACTAGAAAGGCTGGGTTGTGATATAAAAAGAAGAGCTACCTGTTAGAAGATACCAAAAGTGAAACAATTAGACGATGAAGAATCGGCCGACTATAATTTAAATTGCTCTATCAAACAAGTTATTGTCTTTACTTTTATATTGGATAACGCCATTTAATCGATGAATAGTAGGTTTAAAGGGCATAGGAAGTTGTATGAAGACATATCACTTCTCGATCCCCAAAACGTTTCGAAGCCATTTATCTTTTTCAAATGGCGCGTCACAATTTCCACAGTGTTTCACAGTAATGGTCAGCGTTTACTGTTTCACCACGTGGAAGGAACTCAATGAGCAGAATGCCCTTCTTGTCCCAGAACACTGTGCACATCACTTTGTGTACCGATAGCGTCTGTTTGAATTTCGTCCCGACTGGAGATCCACTATGCTGCCAATGCATTGACTGCTGCTTGGTTTCGCGGCGAAGTGCAGAATCCAAGTCTGATTGCCTGTGACGATCCCATTGAGGAACTTGTCGCCGTCATCGTGATACCGTTACAGAAATGTCAGTGCTGCTCCTAAGCGTTCAATTTTGTGTTCAGATGTCGGGTTTTTCGGCACCCACCTGGCACACAATTTTTTGAACAGCAGGTGCTTAGTGACAATCTCTTGCAACAAGGATTGTGATATCTGCAGAAAATGGCTGCTCAGCTTCATAATCGTAAAGCGACGGTTCTCCATCACGAGCTGCCGCACAAGCTCAACAAGATCATCATTGATGAGGGACTGTCTGCCACTGCACTCTTCATTATGAGCACTTTGACGACCTTCTGAAAACTGCCTACACCAACGATGCATCATCTGCTTTACTCATGATGTTTGTCCCATAGACCTGACAATTAATTTCAATTGGCGCAGTACTTGCATTCAAGAACTTTATCACTGACGCAACCTCGTAGGCGGCAGGAGAAGGAATAAGAGCTTCCATCTCGGACCACTGCAACCACGCTACTGGCACGAGGCACAAGCGTCTAGCCCCTCAGATGCTAGTTTCCTCCTGATTCCTCCCTGATCATCTGTGCAGATTCACGCGCAGCGTGTTTACTCCAAAAAGCTTGGAGTGGTCAAAGCCGTTTTTTTAAAACGACACTCGTTTAAAACGTTGCAAACTTGGTGCGCATTACTGAGTGTAAATTAATCTCTTTTATTAGTTTATCTGAAATAGTTTTCTTTTTAATTGGTATACATATTTATTTGTTCAGATGTTTTATTATAAATCTATACATAAAGGAAGAATTCCTGATTTATTCACCTACAGATCATCGCCCAAAGCTATTAGAGATATCAAAACTTAGGAGCTTATTCCTTTTGTACCGAAGATGTTATTTAAGAAGCGATTTTTAAGATTCGGCGGGCAAAACGTGTTTCTATGTTTTTTCATATAAGGAAGAAACAGATGTACATAAAATTCTTGCTTTAACTCTTTCGCATCGAGAGAGGGCAAAATCTCAATTCCCCAAACATCGAAAACGCCCGTATCTAAGAATTTCTCCTGGAATGCTTTTCCTTCCCCCATGACAAGTTGAATACTACAGTGCTAACAATAGCCTTACTTAAGTAAAGCGAGAACTTCTTTCTTCGAAGCTTTGACACTGCGTGAAGTTCCCCTTGGGACGGGATTGCAACTTCGGGCATCAAAAGCTAAACACTGACAGTAAACAAAGAAAGGAAGGAACAAAGGAAACAAGGAAGCTACTTTTAGTAGCTTCAAAAGAATGATTGACATGTGATTTAACAACACCTGAAAGCAATGAGTAATGCAGTAACGTGATGGGGGAAAGCACTGGGTAGGAAATTATTCGGGCGTCCAGCCGATGTCTGAATGCTCGGGCGCTTGGGGCGACTTCGATGCGAAAGAGTTAAAATGTATGGAATATGAATACCTAAAAACCAATTTCAAACGTTTTCAAAATTCGGCCCCGAAGGGGGGGGGAACGTGTTCTTTACATATTCCTTCATATCTCAGATATCCATAAGACAAACTTATGAATTATTGCTGTAAAATGTAAGGAATACGAATAAATGCTGACATCAACATGTGTGGGGAGGGGGACTGATTGGCATAAAATACAAGTTTACATAATGTACAAGTAAGCCTTATTCAAGGTACAGGAATACCAGGTACCTTTACCAGGTATGTAAAGCTAGTTAGCATTAAAAAAAATTAAGGTTTCTACCTATTTAATGTTATTAATAATTAAAACCCCAAAATAAAAATGTAGCAGCATGTGGCAATTCACAAAACTGTGATGAGATTGTTACAATGTTCAGTTAGTTTTAAACAATTCTACACATAATAAAATGGCCAGTGCACAACATGTGAATGTACATGGGGTTGAATAATTAGAAAATAAAAAACTTGACAAATATTAAATAGTAGAAAATATTGCTTACTGTTCAAATTTGGGATTGACTCAGTTTCACCAAAATATATTTATCAACATTAAAACGTTTGGTAATAATCTATTGACTGAACAGTATAAAAGTCAATGAATGATTGATTGTATGGACAATATTTGGTACTGTTGGACTTGGGGGGGAGGAAGGAAGACAGTAATGCAAGGAGGATGAACAAAAATAGACTTACTCATTAATCACAGAATACATCAGCCTACCACGAGGACCTGAGATAAAGGTTTAAAACCCTGTTCTGAACTTCTACATCTGTTCCTGATCATTTTAAGGATCAGAGTGGGAATTATCTTATTATTAAAGAGAAGTTCTGAAGAATGAGAGAGATTATATATAAAATAAGAAAAAAAATATCATCTGACACATATAAAACACTTACAGGCAGTTGAAAGAAGATGTTTTAGATGATAAAAATGGACAAAAGGAATTGTGAATAGGTACTAATGACTATTGTTAAAATATATATTTTTCACTAGATATGTTAAGTTTCTTCTGTGCTATTATGTGTAAAATTTTTGTGATCCAAAATAATTTTTAGAATTGTATTATTATCTTCATTCTGTGAAGTTACTATTTTGTCAGTTCCCTTTTCGTTTTGTATTTGAGAATCTTTTGGGTATTATATTTTTATTAGGTGGAATATCTTTATTAGCACTTGGGAAATGTATTTCTTGTGCATTTAACATATCAGCCGCTTCTAGTTGTAGTGGTGCTGACTTAAGAATCTTGTTTTAACACATCACATTGTTTGTCAGATTTTAATGAATCTACTAATTCTAAACATGTTTGTTTTAGTTCATTCTTTCTGTGTTCCCAGGGGCATAGCTAGAGGGGGGCATCTGTTCCCGGGCGCAGAATCCAAGGGGCGCCAAACTGATGTTACGACATTTTAGAATTAAATCTTTTCCATCCTTGGCGAGCAGTAGGGGGCACGAAATCTTCAGTTGTCTCTGGGCGCTGAAAACCCTAGCTACGACTCTGTGTGTTCCAGTGAGAGGGTCTGTGATTTTTTTTTTCGGCTACTTAATTCAAAATTCATTTTCATCATCTATAATAAGTGGATAATTCATTATGTATTGTAGTTGTAGTATAAGTAGCAGTATTTCTAGTGTGCTGATGTAAGTAATGTATTTAATAAGTAGCAGTATTTCTAGTGTGCTGATGTAATTAATGTATCTAATAAGTAGCAGTATTTCTAGTGTGCTGATGTAAGTAATGTATTTAATAAGTAGCAGTATTTCTAGTGTGTTTGCACATACTCCACCTAACTTATAAGGTATTTCTCCCGCCTTCTTGGTGTGGTGGTCTGCACACTGGGCGCATATTCCAGAGGTCCGTGGTTCGATTCCC